ACTCCAAAAATCAAGTGCTTAACTTATACTGCACTACTAACTCACAGTTTTAGGAACAGAAACGGGAAGTTAAAGGGGTCTTATGTAACAGCCAAGCAACAGTGGGAAAAGAACTACTCGAGATAAAAAAAAAATATGGAATCAGAAGAGGACAGGGAACTGCAATTCTGTGTGAATTTTTAACTGCTTACTACACAATAGGCACTAATAGTATTGACAATAACCAAAAGGAAAATCTGTAGTAAGAATTTGTCTTCAACTTGGGATTCTCAGATTTCAGGCTGGAAAAAACTCTGGGTATGCTCACATGCTGTCCTTCACACATGACAGGAATGCTTCTGATGTACCTCATTAGCATGTGTTCTGAATTACTTTTCAGTTCTGAATTATAATAAATTATGTGTCCAGTATAATCAGGGTGGACATTCCTTATAAAAATTCAATACTCACATTCCTGAACTTGAGAAACAGGTAGGTATAAATGATTCTCCTTTACTCGCCAGTTCCTTTAAAACAACCCCAAGAGGGCATTAAAGTACTTATTTACAGATCATTAACTACTTGGAGTGGCAGAGTAAACTTGCTAAGAGTCACAGGCAACTGAAGACCTGCATGATTCTGTGTAACAAAATATCCTTTATAGACAACTTTCCAGGAATACTATATCGAGGGTGGGCACGGTGGTGCATGCCTGTAATCCCAGCACTTCAGGAGGCCGAAGTGGGAAGATCGCTTGAACCCAGGAGTTCAAGACCAGCCTGGGCAACACAGGGATTTCCCCATCTCTACAAAAAATAAAAATAATTTTAAAAAAGAATCTTATATTGGGTAAAACACTCTGGATCCAAATGACACACTCTTGATAAAAGCAAAAGTATACATTTGTAACCTTGCCAGCAAAAGAGACAACCATTGATCTAGAAATCTAACAGATTTCTTTCTGTTACAAGCTAAATGTTTAAAGGAACTTGGAACAAAGTAATTTGGAAACCAGAATGTAACTAACTAAACCAAGTAAGAAAAAGAGAGGTAATCAATATCTGTGGAGAAATCTTGAAAAGAGGATCTGCTTACACCCCGACTTCTGTTTCAAAGACTGCTACTAGAGCAGCAGCCACTCTAAGAGAATCAAGAGATACTAACGATGTGAAGAAGACAGGAAATGCCAACTTATCAAATCTCCTTTCAGTGAGATTCTGACAAGTCCTGGTATAAATTCTATAAAACTGTACCAAAAATTAACCATAAGATAACTGATGAGAAAAGGAGTATCCTGGATTTTACCTATCAGGTTAACACCCAAGCTGTACCCACTGGGGCTCTACTTGCTGTGCTTCCTAAGTCTCAGCTGACCCTTTTGATGAATCAGTACTACAGAGGTTCATTCAGATAAAGAATAACCTGTAAATGAAAGTAGTTTCTTTTGTGCTGTTCTCCTTCCCCACATTTTGCTCGTCGTAAAGGTCTGACTACACAGATCCTAGGTCAAATGTTTAATGGATCACTCTGGAGAGTGCCCTTAATGTTGAGAAGTCCAGAGAAAAGCAAATGTTCTGATAGGTCTTGCAGAGAAACATGCTTATTGTAAGAGCTCTCAACAAGTTGGAGATTTGGGTTTATACTATGAAAAAAGAATCAACTTGACACAATGTCAACTTCCAAAGGTCCAAGGACAGTTATCACTCCTGTACACAAAACAGCAGAAAAAGAGGATAAACCACCAGTGGTTATGGGGAACTAGATGACTTACTTGGTTTGACGGATAACAGCCAAGATTAAACAAGGATCTTCTTCAGTTGTGGTACAATGTATAATTACTCTACAACTCAAGGATTCCTTCTCTTACCTCAAGCCATACCATCTTTCCTAGCTATACCATCTGAAATCACCAGTGACAATCGCGAACTAGCCTTACAGTGTGAATCATACTACAGCTATTAATATAGTCCTGTGAAAATTTCTTTTAGAACTCTGTGTCAGGAAAAGTTGTCCTCTTGAGGAACTGACATGCATTCTTTCCCATGCCTGTTAAGGAAACAACTATGATTCCTCTTATCCTCTAGCTGCTAAAAGTTTAAAGTTGCATGTGGTGATCAACCTCATCAACTAACTTAGCCCTGAGGTTAACAAATTTTTTTTTCATTCTTTCTACAGTTTTTACTCCCTTTTATATAAAATATGTGTCCTGTGTTATAAACCACTTCAAATGTCCATTGAAGAATATAAATATGTGAACAGACTTTTAAAAAATTACGCTTGCTATCTTAACTCCCCAGCATGCCTCTATCTCCACCTGTTCCAAGAAAGTAGGCACTTATTTGGCAGATGAGGAGATGAATGTACAAAAGCTAATTAATTTGCTCAACTAAAGTCAACCCTTTAGTTGACTTCTGGATGCCCACACATCTCAAATCTTCAATCAAACCAACAAGCCCCATTTTGTTCAGGAGCAGTGTAATAGACGCCACGGCATACGAAACTCAGTAAGTCATGTGTATTGCTGGGGGATCTAGATACTTAGGCTTTTAATTGATGGATATCCACTCTCGACCTCAAACAAAACAAAAAACATGAATAAAAGCTGGCCTGAAAGTGACACTGGGATCTGATCTAATTGAGGACCAACAAAGTCACCCCGAAGTAACCTATATCCTCTGGCATCAAGAACATCCTCAATTCCTGAGAGGCCTCAGGGGTTCAGAATGATCCAAGGATTACTGGTCTAGAGCCAGGGTAGAATTCCCACAGGTGAAGGGCTGTACCACTTGAAGAGGTCTTTTTCCCACACCATTAATACCATGCCAAGTTACTTTTCTCCCCTCTTACTTTGCCCATGCTTTCTCACGTTATCAACACATGGCAGAGGTACAAAAGTGACAAGTCATAATGTTCAATTCAGCAGAAGTCTTGAAAAACAGATTGCCTAGGACTTGCTATATGACCTTGACTAGTCTTCAACTGATCCATTAACTAAATAAATGCCTTTTATCATCACTAGGGGAAGGGTAATCAGTCATCATAAAGCACTTTATTACAAAGTCCTACGTAAATTCTAAACAATAAAACTCAGGAGAGGAAGATTAATAAGAAACACGGTGGGACACATTTACCGGCAAATGGAATCTTAAAACAGGGTCTTCCCACATTCCTGGCAGAGCCTGTTTCTTTTAGCTAATGGAATATTAGTCTAAAATCATTAGCACTTGGCCTGACAATAACGTACATTAGCAATATTCCTCCTGGGAAGAAGAGAGGAAAAGGGATAGTTATTGCTGGTAGGTAGCCATATGGACAGCTCAGTCACTAGTTAGCCAGGTGGGCAATTAATATTTGAGTACCTACTATATGCTGGGTACAGAGCTAGGCACACTGGATACAAAGGTGAACAAGAATCTCCACCTTAATGAGTTTTACAATCTACAACATAGACTTTGTCTTATCAACAGTGGTACTTTCAAGAATACAGATTTACTAACATAAAGGCAAGTAAGAGCAAAGATGCCAGAGTCTGGGAAATTCAGGAATTGGGGCTTTCCCATTCTTTCCTCTAACTCCTCTGAGGTCCTACCCTCAATCATTTTGCTTATAAGGACTGCGACTGTTTCTCCAAAGAATAGTGTAGATTGCAAAGGTTCACTGTACCAACTGAACTGACGACACTAAAGTTAAATCAGATTTCTCAAGAGTCGAGGGATCTTCCACAATCTTTTAAAGGAATTAATAAATTCTTAACTTTGTGAGAAAAAAGAGCTAAAGCACACAATGGCGACCTGTCTTTTTAAATCCTGCATTTGATTTCTGGAGTGGCAGGTTAATTCCCTTAAAAAAAAAAAAAAAAAAAAAAAAAGCCATCTCTCCTGCTTAAGACAGCTTAACTAGTTGAAGCCTCAAGGACTTAACTATTCCTGCAACCCTTGCTTTGTTCAGCCCTGCATCCCATTAAACACTGCAGGCAGAGACAGCTTTGTAAGACTCCGTCTTTATACAGAAGGGAGACATTTATCTGAGTTCTCAAAGGCTTCAGGAAGGTCACCTCTTTGTAAAGGTTCTCTGGTCTACTGCTAACTGGGTGCCAGGTGTACGGAAAATCAAGATATGGTTGGCAGTAAATGATCAGAAAGCAGTAAGGATCCCAATTCCACCACTCAGAGCTAGTTAGACTAAAATCTCCAAAGGTTGTCATTTATGAGAGAATTGGAAGGGTGTCCTTTGAGCTCAACCCACTGCACAATAGATCAAACTTGTTCTGCCTCAAAAGTACAGTCAAGAATGAGCAATCGTTCCTTACCACCCACCACTCCAACCCACCCAAGTTCCCTTCTCCAGGGATGCCTAAGTGATCTATTCACATGACTAGGATCCACCTGTATCCATGACAGTGTCTCCTGTCACCAACCTCCAAATGTCAATTTCTTACATATTTCGAAGTAACGGAAGGCTGTAGAAAGTGAAAATCGTAATTTTCAATTTCCTTTTCCCCTCATTGCTTTCACCTGTATAGTAGAGCTAGCTTCACGCATTCTTTTCTCTTGCCTCCCAGCTATCACGCAGTTGTTGGATAAACCGGCCACTGCTCCCAAAGATTTGACGGAAATTCTGCCAGATTTACCCACTCACCTGAAGGGAGATTTTCTGAACACCCCATGTCCATGGACTGGTCACAAGGGTCGGCTGAGTTGGCACACCCCCTCCCACTCTCGTCTTCGAGGCCCTTCATCCAGGAAAAGTCAGCCGCAAATTTAAGGCCTGGCCCTGCCGGGTTTCAAAACGATCCCAGAGGACTTGGGCCGAGGGACAAAGGAAAGCGAGGTCAGGGGCGGCCTTTCCAGCCCGGGATAGGCCTGGGGCCGCACGGCCGCCACCCCCTACCTCACCTCCGCCGCCTCCAGTCACCCCAACCCCAGCCTCAGAGGTCCCGAACCAGCCAGAGCCTGGGCTTGCTCGCGCCCCTTCCGCGAGGCCGGAGCCCGAGCCCCCGCCGCCACCCAGAGCCCCCGCACCTTCTTGGGCGCCTTGGTGACGGTGGCCATGAAGGAGTACTTCTCGGCGTCCTCGATCTCCTTGGCCTGCTTCAGCTCCTCCCCGACCCCGGGCAGCGGCATCGCGTCAGGCATCGACATCCCCCGGCCGGCCCGGCCCGCGGCTGACCCGCCGCCCCCGCCTCTTTCCCCCTCCGGCGTCCGCCCGCCTGCCCGCGCGGCGCCCTCCAACACGCGATCGCCCACCCTCCCGCCGGGCCCTGCGTCGAGCTGCGTCGACTTCTGAGGTGCTGCGGTCCGCGCCTCGTCTGCGTGGCAGCCCAAGGCAGCCGGACAGCGAGCGCGGCCACCAGAGAACCAGAAGCAGCAGCTCCGAGCTCCGACCTGCCCGCGCCGCCACCTCCGCTGCACGCAAACACGCACGCAAAGCGAGGGTAGAGGGCGGTGACGCCACGTCAAGTACTGGCAGCTCCTGGGAGGGGGGAAGAGGCGGGGAGAAACGGCGCTCTGTCGTGACGTCACCACGCTGGGCTGGGCCACAGAAGCCGCTCCTTCTCTTCCGCTCCAGTGTGAAGTTCGCAGAGTGAGCGCGACCCTTTGTGCCACCAGGTGGCGCCATCAGCCCTGGGAGCAGCGCGTGGTTCATGCAAGGATGCTGCGGAACCGAGAGGTCTTTGGGGTGCGGGGCTCCTGGCGAGGCCTCAGAGGGCCATAAAATGGGTGTTTGAGAGGAAAGACCAGAGCCCCGCACGACACATCCTACAGCCATTCCTAGGAAAAGTCCGGGGCTTGAGGCATCCCACTCACCCACTGATCCAGCCCCAGGCCCTTTGGATTAAAACGCCTTCCCAAGGGGCCTGCTTCTTGGACTTCATAGTGGGCAGAACTGACTCAGAGTAGTCTGGTTTCTGCACAACGCTTTGTGACTTCCTCCATCACCATCTCTTGCTGGGCCTTCCCTGTTTACAAAACCCTCAGGCCGCAAAGCTGATTTTTAAGCCGTCATTGGGATAGGGCTGATGGGTGTGAGGGTGGAGACCAGGAGGGCTGATGGAGAAGTCCCCAGCCAGAATGGCTTTTCGGTCCTTGCTCCACCAAAGCATTAGACTCTTCCAGCTCTCCGTGGGCATCCAGGACATTCATGGACCGTTCACACCCTTTTACTGGGCCCACTATGTACAGTCCCTGTGCTAAGGCCCGGATGGCAAAAGGGCGTGTGACACATTTTATGTTTTGCAAGGCTTAGTTCAGCTGGGGAGGCAAAGTCTGTCTGTAACCTAATGTCAGCTGAGGTAGCTTGTCCTCTGAGATTCAAATGGCATTGGCTCCAATTACCATGTCCTGTGGAAAGTCCAGTGCCCTCCCCGGATTTCTGTGAATTACTGGGAAGACTTACATTTTCATGATCACCTCTGGCTCTAGTTTTTTGCCTCGTCTGGCATTTCATTCGCTATTCTGGTCTTGTGACTGTTTCTGTAGCTCCTGGGGTCAATTCAGCCCCTTCTCCTTTCAACCCCCACGCCGTTTTAAAGCAACTACAAAAATAAGGTTGTAACATGTAGTAAAACGTTTAATAAAGGTTTGTGGGTCACAGGGGAGAGATTACATCACATAGCAAACAATTTAAGATCACATTTCTGAAATGTTCTGAAAAGTTATTTTGGCTGTCTCGCCACTGGGGATTTCTCAATGGCCACAAGACCCCACCACACTCCCTAGCCCATTGCCATCTAATCTAGCTTCCTCCCTTTCCTTTCTTCCCATCCCTGCACCTCATCCTTCCTTCCTTTATGGACTCTGGAAAGCCAGATTCTCCTCTGCTGTGCTGAGCAACTCCGGTCTTCCCAGTGCCTTTTCCCTAAATTCCTCCCGAGGACCACCTTTCAGCACCCAGAAACCTCTCAGGTTTTTAACAGGGTCTGCCCTTTCAAGAAGGAAGTTGCGGTTTGAAATGACATTTTCCCCACCGATATGTGTTCAGGGCTGGGGAAAGTGTGAAATACTCACCTGTAGGGCCATAAAAGTCTTAGTCAGGGTAGCCCGTGTTCCAGCCACCTAGCCTCATGAGACTGTTTGAAGAGGGCTTGTAGAAGCACCTGGAAGAATGCACCTTTTGCAGATCCTGATCTTGAACTGTTAGAATTCTTTCGTCTGCTCACTTTTTTGAGCACTCAGACTTCCCTGTCAGGGGCATCGCTGTAGCAGAAGGGGAAGGGAGATGGAGACCAGAATACCAGGCTCATCCATGAGAGTGCCAGACTGGCATCTTTCAGCTGGGGGTCAGGAGCCACACCTGGTGCACTAAGGACTCTGTGGACATAAGGCTCACAGTGGCTTTCATCCTTGTGGGTTTGCCCAAACTGTTGTCAGAGCCCAGGGATCAGGGATGCCTGCTCAAAAACCTGAGGCAGAGCCCATTGGAACCAGGAATGAAATCTTGAGTCCTTAGAATAGGAAAACATATGACTTAAGATAATCTTTTTTTTTAAGAGAAGCATCGGTATGTCTGTCTTTTGGATTTGATTTTTAGAACGTGCTTTGTCTACACATTTTGTCTCTCAGTCCCCAGTTCTGCTGTGCATTAAGCATCTAGACCGTAAGCGTCCCGGAGATTGAAGTTCAGTCTTTCCTTGACTCCTCCTGGACCAGGTTTGCCCTAGCACCAGGCTCACAGTGTTGTCTGCTGTTGCTGCTGCAGCGGAGGACGACAGGGCCAGGCCTAGAGCATGCGGTACCTTAGCAGTCTAGGCCAAGAAGGAGACCAGCAGGTCAGACTCCACTCCTCTGAGCGGCTGGCCTGAGGGGAGGTTGATGAGCTGACGACGGAGAGCCAGGCGGCTCAGACTGGAAAGGGGAAGGGCAGCGCTCCTACCCTGGTAGAACGCCTTAGGCCTATGTGGTTCAAGTGAGGTCAGGGGCCTGGGATATTCTTGGAAACCAGCCACCGCAGGGGACATGGGTGGCTGCCATCCCTCCCACCACGTGTGTGTTGGAGATCAAAGAGCTCACCCAGCCAGGGAGTGTGACAACATAATATTCGTGAGAATCATTGCTCTCTGTCCCCCATCCCCAAAGCCAATCCTAAGATAGCCTCACACGGTGCAGCTAAGGTGATTGCTTCTCATTAATACCAAGAGATGACTTGTCTTCAGCCCACCCACCCAACCTGACTCAGCAACTCTCCTGGCAAGCTCACTTCCCTCAACAGTGCAGTCCACACAAGGGTGAGAGACCCCTCTACAGGCCAGTTGGAGAAGAGCAGGGACCCAAAGACAAGATGCACCTGCTGTGTGTGGTGGTGGGAAGTCTCCAAGATCTCCTCTGTGGAGACCAGAAAGGACCCCCGCTAAAAAGGAGTGACCTAAGGGCAGTGGTGAATCGGAATATGCTGTCATCAGAAATGTAGTGGCATTGGGCTACCACACGTGGTCTTGGTCTGGTTAGCCAGATTCATTCTTTGTCCACCCCCAAATTTATGTTCCACATTCAATCATTTGTTCTTTTATTTACAAAATAAATATATTGAGTGCTGAAAAAGTGCCAGGAGCAGGGCTAGGTATCAATCGGGACTACAGAGACAAAGAAGCTCGGGTGCTGATCTGTACGTGGGGACAGGTGATGGGGGTGGGGTACAGTGGAGGGTGAAGGGATGCCCAGGAAGGCTGCACCGAGGGAGATGCTGCTGGAGCTGAGTCTTGACAGATAAGCAGCTGGGCAAGGGAGGGAAGATTCTCCAGGTTGAAGAAACAGACTGAGAATAGGCAGGGTGATGGAAACAGCTTGGCATATTATGGGAACTGTAAATATTGCCGTGTGGGTGGGGCACAGGGAGCAACACAGGGTGGAGTGAGTGCTCACGCCAGAGCCAGATCCTACAGGGCCTGGTAAGCTCTAGGTGGGTGGTGGCTATGTCTGCCATGCTGGGGAGCACAGGAGGAGAAGCAGGTGTGGCTGGAGGGCGGGGGGCGCTGCCGAGAGAGAATGAGTCAGCTTGGGACATGCTGAGTTTGATGTGTCTGTGGAGGGCACTGTCCCTGAGTCTCAGGTGAGCCCAGGTTGGCACATTTCAGAACTGCTGGCTCTCTGCCAGTCAGGCTCCCCACTAGGGGGAGGCTGTGCTCCTCCTGAAGGCCTTTCATCTCCTGTCAGCCAAGGTGCTCATTAGCCTCCTGGAATGAAAGTGCAGAAAAACTGCAGAGATCTTGGGTGGCAATGGAAGTCCGGAACAGGTGAAGAGGGTGGTGAGCGAACCCTCCCCAGCTCCAGTCTTCTTTCTGTCCCAGAATTGCTACCTTGCACAGCTCTAGGAGGCACCATGACATTGTCATTGTTGTGGAAGGTGCCCTGGAGGACCACTTCAGGCTGGTCACCTACCTTGCTGGCCCTGAGGGACCCCCAGAGGCTGGGGTCCCTGTTGCAACTCTGCGGCGGTGGGTGCTGGTTCTCAGGCTTCCTGGCTCCTACTGCCCACCGAGCTCCCTCCCTCCCTCCTCACAGCCTCTTCTCCTTCCCCTTCTCCAGTTCCAGCAGGAAACATTCCTCCTTCTCTGTCTCCCACTCTGCTTATTATTATCATATTTATTATGATCATTTACTCTTTAATATCATTTTGAACATTACAGGAAAGAAAAACCCGTGAAGATTTTTTAAAAATACGTTTTCATCTTGTTAAGTTCACTCCTGGTTCTTATCAATTTGCAGAAACTCATTTTGACATACCTGTAATTGGTAGTTTCATGTCCTTTTGTGTTCTGCTTTGATCAAATTACAACATGTCAGAAACACATGACCCATGCAGAGAACATTGACATACCTGTTATTGTCCGTGTTTCCCAAGCATTCTGTCATATTGCTTTATGAGTTTGCTTAACTGTTTTCCTACTGTTAGGTATTTGAGTTGCTTCCAACTAGTGCAATATCATGGAATGGGCGGAGGTGGTTTCAGAGTGAGTATGGGGATGGCTTTCAGGCAAAAGAGGCAGATAGGTCACGGCACCAGGTCCTGCTAGAGAAAAGGGAGCAAAAATGTAAGTAGTGGGGCCAGTTGTACTGGCTGTAAACAAGCACCAAGATCAGGAGACACCTTTTGGCCCTAGAGGATCTGAGGTCCTGTGTCTGGAACTCGTGAGAGCTGACTCACGGCGAGGCTGCGTGGTGTGGTGTGAGGAATCAGGAGAACTGGGCAGAGATGTGGGCTCAAATCCTCCCTCTGCTACCAACTAGGCCACTGGTATCCTGGACCTTTTTTGACCTCTACTTCCTCGTGAAACACAGGTTGATAACTCTCCGTCTGAGGCTTGTGATGACCTACTCCAGTAACATCATATACATGCAAGAGCTTTGAACAAGTTGCAAATATTGTGCAAATGTAAGAGAGTAAGATGTGGAGGGAAAAGAGCTATTGATGAGA